GTCTCTTTCTTTGTCTCTGTCTCTTTCTTTATCTCTGTCTCTTTCTTTATCTCTGTCTCTTTCTTTATCTCTGTCTCTTTCTTTGTCTCTGTCTCTTTCCTTATCTCTATCTTTGTCTCTATCTTTGTCTCTTTCTTTGTCTCTTTCTTTGTCTCTTTCTTTGTCTCTTTCTTTGTCTCTTTCTTTTTCTCTTTCTTTGTCTCTTTCTTTGTCCTTGTCCCTATCTTTATCCTTTTCTCTTCTTTCTTTCTCACGCTCACGTTCTCTGTCTCGTTCTCTGTCACGCTCTCTTTCTCGTTCTCTGTCCTTCTCCCTTCTTTCTTTCTCACGCTCACGTTCTTTGTCACGTTCTCTGTCACGCTCTCTGTCACGTTCTCTATCACGCTCACGTTCCCTTTCTCTCTCACGATCCTTCTCTTTCTCACGTTCTCGTTCCCGTTCTCTATCACGATCTCTATACCGGTCACCTACAAATTTAAATAAACTCTAAGCGTCAATGCACTGAATATACAAACTAGATGGGCTCAATGCACCAATCGAGAGGTGTCAGTGCTGTGATTTACTTATAAAAAGGGCAAGCTGTTGAATAATGCCACTTACGTGGCCTGATCACTCATCATTGTCGCACCGATACCTCTGATTAAAAAAAAACAGGCCAAGCCAGATTCAAACCTCTATCACGATCTCGATCTCTTGAACGACGCCTTCTATAATGGTAATCTATTGTGATAAACTCGACGTGTTACATTTTGAATAAGTTTTTCATAACTTTAACAAAACATCTAAACAATACATACCTCTATCTTTCGACCTTGACCTAGTCCTTGATCTACGTTTCCTGGGCCTACTACGACTTCGCGTTCTAGATCTAGTTCTGCTACGACGGATGGATCTAGAACGACTACGAGATACGACTGCTTCAGCGGCAGGTGAAGTAACATCCATCATTTCAACATCATTTATTGATGCTGAAGGAGAATTGTCTGGTATAGGCCCATCAGTATTTAACCTATTAGCAATTCTTAGTTGAGCTTCCCTAACACGGCGCATGGTAGCTTGTACATCTGGTGCATCATTCTTTTTAGGAGTTTTATTAATTGCATTTTTCGAATGATTCACTCTATGAAAATAATGTAAAGAAATATTAATAAAATATATGCGTATAATATTGATAATAATATCCACAAATAATAATAATCTTACTTTAAAGGTCGATCTCCTAACATAACACCATTCATTTGCATAGCAGCTTGTGCACCTTCAAAAGTGGCGAACTCTAAGAACGCAAACCTTGTAGGTTGAGCAGGATCACCCGCCATTTTCACATAGGCAACTGGACCACAGGCCGAAAAGAATTGTGTTAATTCCGGTTCCGATATCGAGGAATTGATATTACCAATGTATACCGTTCTCGATATTTCTTCGGCTTTAGCTGGATCAAACTGTGCGACAGTCGGAGAAATTGCAGGATTCGCTCTTATTGCTGCAAGAGAATTTATAGAGAACGGTTGTACGGTAATGGGCGTGATCAAGGGTTTTTGAACTGATGATTTAGATTGGACGGACCTAGGTGGTGAGAGATTTTGTGGAAGCATCTGCGATGGTATGATTTGTTGTTGGTATGAACTATTAAAAGGAATGCCAGAAGGAGCGGTCGTTGACGAAACCATTAAGGTGCGATCACCCAATTCCACTCCAGTTAAATGGAGAGCCGTTATTGCTGAGTATGCTTCTTTGAACTCTATTGTACATTCTTGCACACCATCGCCATGAGGACTGTAAAAAAGAATAATAACCATTACAAATGTGTAAAAAATAAACGCGTATATTGAAAAAAAATTCTTACCTGTTATATAGTTTTATCTTTGTAACATCACCCAAGAACTCAAACAACTGTTTCAGTATCGGTTCAGTTACGAGTGAAGATATATTTGCAACCTGTGAATTTTAAATAGCAGGTTCCATTAACACTATTGCAATTAGCATACAAATGACAACTTTAATAAAATATATGTACCTTTACGACGTTATCAACTGACATTGATCAACTTTCGTGCATTAAGACTTTAGACTTTGATATTTCGATAGGATTGCATTGTACAAGAAAATCTTTTCTGATTGGTCAAATCATACGATCATATGTTACTGGTATCAAGATGCTTGAGTCACAATAATGATTTCCAGTTTATCGTAAAAAGATGACGCGTGAGACCCAAAAAAACTTTTTTTTTTCTCTTAAGTCTTACAATAAGCAATGGGTGGTTTATACTTATTAGATTATGGTGCAGGAAATGTACGTAGCTTGGCAAATGCTTTAAATCGGTTAGAGTATGAATTTAAATGGGTTAAAAAACCTGAGGATATTTTAGAAGCAGATGTAAGTAGACAAAAAAAATATATATATAATAAAGAAAAACTGAGAAACCTCAAGCTAAATATCTTTTATCATTTTCACGTGATTAATGCAGAAATTAATTTTTCCGGGAGTAGGTGCTTTTGGCAGTGCGATGGAATTATTAACATCAAAAAATTATGCCGAACCTCTAAAGCAATATATAAAATCAGGAAAACCATACATGGGGATTTGCGTCGGTTTACAGACTTTATTCCATGGTTCCGAGGAAAATCCCGATGTTCCTGGCCTGTGCATTATTCCGGGTACCGTAAAGCTTCTTAATAAAACCGATAAAGCCGTTCCACATATGGGATGGAATGAAGTATTTTGTGTCAGGAGGATCAACGGAGTTAACGAAGACTATCCGCAAGATAATCAACATGGCATTGAGCAAGGAACTGTCTATTACTTTGTCCATTCTTATGCTGTACCCTTCACAAATGAACTCAAGGAATGGACACTCGCGACAACTCAATATGGGAAAGAAGTTTTTATTAGCGTAATTCAAAAAGATAACATTCTCTGTACTCAATTCCATCCAGAAAAAAGTGGATATGCCGGTTTAAGAGTTTTAAGATCCTTTTTACAAGGGAAAGGCATTGTAAGTAATGCCAGCGGGCAACTCATAATAAAAAATCCAGAAATCTTACCAAAAGATCGGTTTACCAAAAGAATTATCGCATGTTTGGACGTACGGACTAACGATCAAGGTGATTTGGTCGTTACTAAGGGTGACCAATATGACGTTCGGGAATGTAATGATGGCTCTGAAGTTTCAGGACAGGTTCGCAATCTTGGAAAACCTGTTGATTTAGCACGTCGATATTTTGAAGAAGGTGCTGATGAAATTACATTTTTAAACATTACGAGCTTTCGAAATTGTCCGCTCACGGATTTACCAATGTTAGAAATTCTAAAGCGTACTTCTGAAACTGTTTTTGTTCCTTTAACTATTGGCGGTGGTATA